ATACAAATGAAATTGCTGTGTGGGATTCTTGACAAAGGGCATTGTCATAATGCCACACAGCAAGAGGTCTGAAATAATAAACATAATCCAGGGTGTTCATCTGGTTAGGGAGAAGTTCTTACACAAACAGAACCTGAGATGATCTATGCTCGCCAGGCCTGAATGCTGCCATTGAAGACACAATATCTCAATGTGAAATCAGCAATAAATACAGGCCATGGAATGCAAAAGAACCACTGAAGCCATACGAGGTTTCTGACAGTTGGTTGAAAGTTGGCAGAGATGCATTTGAATCAAGTGGGAAAGATTGTATCTTAATAGTGGATTTTTTTTGGCAAAATTGAGCTATTGTACAAGACCACTGGAGAGCAAAAAGGCAACTAAAGGCAGGCCGCTGTGGTGCTTGGAGACAGAAAACAAGATGTCAGGCACCTAGTACAGTAAAATGGCAAATTCCATGGCATTGTTTAGTCGGTAAGTGCTGTGGGACAGGGACCAGTGTTCCCTGTAAGGTGTGTGTTTCTGTGGCTCAGGAGAAATTCACATGCTGCCCAGCTGATTAGCAAAGCACCCACAGCTAGATTTATGTTTCTGTTGGTGGTGCACAGTCACACATGCCTGGGTGCACATAAAATTATTCCTCACATTGATGGAAAAGACAAGAGGGAACATTGGCAAGGACTGTGTTTTACTATATGATTTGCACAGCACTTAAGACGAAGCCTAACCTCTCTGTGGCTGTTAGGCATTACTTCAGTCTAATTGTTAATAACCGGCTTGGAGGCAAGATGCCAGATTCTGCAGGTGCAGAATTTACAGGGCTCTGATTGAGATGAATGGGACAGTTCTGACCTTTTTGAGCTATTGTTTGATTCTGGTCCTGATTATCTCTGCATGAGAGCTACAAATATCTTTAAAAGAGAGCTGAGAATCTGGAGCATTGTTTTGCAGCAGCGGTTGAGCTGAACTGTAAATTCAGTGTCTGTGGAATTGTGGAGCCGTATTACACCCCTGCCATTGCATGTTCACTGGTGGGGAGATGCAAAACAGGGGCAGGAGTGTTAAAGATAGCCAGGTTGGGGGCAGAGGGACATGTCTGTGGACAGGGGCCCATTTCTGCATCAGAGGAAAGTGATTTTCTCAGAGCATGACTTCACAGGAGGGCTAAAGCCAAAATAAACTGCGCAAGTTGAGCTATTTCAATTGTGTCGCTTAAGTTGAAATAGCTTATTTAGGCTTTTGGCGCTGTCTACACAGCAGGAAGTCTGAGGTAGAGCACTCTTCCTCTGCCATCCCTTACTCTTCATAAAATGAGCGTTACAGGAGTCAGAAGTCCTCCAGCTTGACATTATTTTGACATTATGTCGAAATAACTGTTTGCTGTGTAGATGCGGACTGGTTGGTCTCAGAGAGGTAGCCGTATTAGTCGGTAATTTTAAAAACAACCAGTCCTGTGACACTTCAGGATACGTCTGCACAGCAGCGCTACTTCGAGATAACCCCCATTAGCCCAAAATAGCGTTCTGCATGTCTTAACAGCACACGCATCATTTCAAAATACATTTGAAATAGTGGGCATCTTAGTCCGGCTTCCTGTAAACCTCGTTGCATGAGGATTAAGGAAGACACTGGAATAGTGATTTATTTCAAAATTAGCACTGTGTAGACCACACATTAGTGCCAAGTTTTGAAATAAGCTATTTCAAAATAAGCTACACAATTTGTGCAGCTCAAATTGCATAGCTTATTTCGAGGTACATGCTACTGCGTAAACGTACCCTTAGAAACTAACAAAAATACTGGGACAGATTTACCTGCATAGAAACCAAAACACACTTTTTGAAGTGAGGGACTGTAAGTGCCATTCAGAGTTGAGGATAGAGGTCTGGTTCTGATCTCATGTAAGTATACATGGAGATTAAAGGACGTAGAGCTGATATCAGAATTGGACCAGAGACTCAGCTTCCTAATATACTCCTGCTTTCAGCCCTTTTTAGAGTCTGACTCTCACCCACTTTCCAACGTGTAACTTACATTCCCTCTGCATTTGAATCCTACTTGTTGTTTTTCATGACTCTTCCATGGTTGTGTTTTGTTTTCTCTCTCCTGCTGCTTTCACCTTCCTTTTCTTCCTGACAAATACATAGGGTCTGTCCCTGACAGCTCCATATTTATTCCTTCTCCAGTTTTCCATGAAATTTAATATTTATTGATGTCCAATTTATCGTACTGTATATGGAAATTATGCCCAGGGTAGACTTTCCCTTAAATTATATTTGAACTGGAAGAGAACACTGGCAGGTTTACAAGTATTCCAGAATTAGTTTCCTAAATACTGAAACTAGTTGATCTTTTGGAAGGATAAAACCCTCCTGATTTATATTTAGCAGAGGGAATGCATATTTTTTAAACACAGCCTGTATGAGGCCTCCAGAAGAAAGGAAAACATCTTTTACATTGATTTGTAGTCCACGGAAATACTATGTGGCCATAAAATATTTGGATTGGGGTTCTGGCTTTTATGCAACTGGCTTTTGAAGCCTGAACTGTGCTTAACCCTCTGAGAATGGGTGCTGTGCTGATTCAAGCTACCTTTGGAGTTGAATATATGGGGAGGCAGATGTTTATCAGTTCAAAGGGATGCTACCCCACATTTTAGGACAGGAAGTGATAAGATTACTGTGGGCAATTAAAACTACAGGGGAAATAGCCTTCTGAATATGAGCTGATGAACAGAAATTGGTGAAGTGTTCGTGCACCTCTCCAGAGAGACTTTCCCAAGTGTGCACACGCACACACACACACATGATGTGACTTGGGGACCAGTGTCTCTGGTGCTGGGACGATGTTAAGGAGATGTCAACGTCATAATGAACCTGCCTGGGGATTGAGCTCAGCTGGGGAGGCTTTGCTTCGTGTTCCCCCACTTGTGGAGATAAGATTAACATCTACGTGGAACAGGGCATTCTCAGCTTTTGCTCCCAGGCTGTGGAATTCTCTTCCTCGGGATATTTGCATGGCGCCAACACCAGCGTTGTTTCGGCATCAGGCTAAAGCCACCCTTTTTATTCGTGCTTTTATTAACGTTTGAGTTTGTATGTGCGTGTTCCTCCTCTCTATATGTTTTTAGCTGGTTATGTCCCTCTGGGGTGTCATATTTTAAATGTGTATATATATTTGTATTGTGTTTTTTTTTGTAAGCTGCCTTGAATATTTTAAATAGAAAGGCGGGCTAAAAATTTAAATATTTAAATAAATAAATTCTATTTGAAGATACATTTAGGATAAATCCTGAAAAGTCTAGACACCTTGCTGACTTTCTAACACCCTATCATCAGAGTTTCTCATCAGACCCGCCATGGGGTGTTTCAAGCAAGTACCACTGGGTGTTCTCTTCTTGCTTTGGTCAGCTGTTTTACTAGTATGCTCTCTCAGCCTGCCATAGGACTCAAGGGATTTGAAGACATGAGCTGAGACTCTGGAGATAAATTGCAGCAACGGTCAGAAACCGGTTGTGTGTCAGGGTACGCGGGAGAGGAGAAAACGTATCTAAACTTTTTCAGACTGAATAATAATCGTAGCTTCAGTTCTGCTGGAGAGTCAGGGATTTTTTTTCCCATTCTGTGTCCCCTTCTCTCATGGATATTTCAGCACTCTTGATACAGGCTGGACCTCCCTGCTCTGGCACCCTTGCGACCTGAGCCAAGGAGTTTGCTGACCAGGGGAGGTCAAGGCTCCTCTGCTGGCTGCCCCACTGGCAGCTCCTCTCCCTAGGGCTCTCAAGGGTGGAGCTCCCCACCCTGCCGCGGAACTGCTAACACTGGCCGGGAGTTCCATGGGGTCCCCCTGCCAGCTGCCGCCAGCCCCAGCTGCTACTGAGGGGCTCTCAGGGGTTCCCCAGCCAAGGTCACCCAGCCACCGGCAGCCCCATTCAGCTGCTGCTTTCCACATTCAGTCGCTGCTTTCCCCGTGGGTTCCCCGGCCCCGGGCTGCCTGGCTGCTGGACTGGCTGCCACTGGGAGTTTCCCAGGGTACTGCCACCAGAGATTCCCCTGCTGGAGCAGGGACTCCCTGTCTGCTACCTGGCCCCACTGCTCGAGTTCCTTGGCTGAGGCTTCTGTTTCCAGGGGTTTCCTTGCTAGGGCTGCCTGTCCACGCTGTCCCCGTTGCTGCAGGGGGCTCCGCTGCTGGCCCACTGCTAGGTGCTCTCCTTCTGTCTGCCCTGCTGACGCTGGGGTTTCCCTGCCGAGCCGCTGCTGGCTCAGCTGGGATTCCACAGACCCTTCGTTCTCCGGGTTAGCTCCTGCTCCCTGGGCTCTTTGGTCCAGTAACATCCGTGGCCTTGTCAGACCATGGATGTGGCCAGACCAAGGAGTCTTGGATTTGGGAGGTTCAACCTGTACAGTGAAACTATGGAAAAACTTAAAACAACGAATGGTCCTGCAGCACCTTAGAGACTAGAAAAGTATAGAAAGTATCATGAGCTTTCGTGGGCACAACCCACTTCCTCAGATGTCAACCATTTGTTGTTTAAGTGTTTTCAGTTAGACTAACATGGCTGCTATCGGTCTGGCTAGTCAGATATTTACCTCTGCCAGTACTTGATGCTCAGAAGAAGGCAGAATAACTTCTATAACGCAGGATTTTTGTAGCTGTGTTGGTCCCAGGATATTAGATAAGACAGGTGAGGTAATATCCTTTACCTGCAATAAAAGGTCTGACTTCACCCACCTTGTCTATCCAGATTGTATCTAACTAATTGTTTAGTGCTGTATATGGGGAGACGAGGAGAAAAATTCCTTTCTATTCCTATGTTGAGCTACCCTGAAGCCTGAGCTTTGATTATACTTATGTGCATAACTAGAGATGTTATTAGCTGCAAGATTTACCTAAAGTTTATCAAATAAACTCCTTGCTTCCCTGGCCTGCTGTGATAATGAAACCGGCAGGCTGCTCACCTGCTGTTTGTAGTCATGTTTCCTTTTGTTCTGAATTTACAGGCCACGAATTTCACACTGAGCAAGTCCCTGTTCTTCTACGTGAACAATCCGTTTCCATGCCTCCTGTCATCGTTTGAAGGGCAAAATGTTTTTTAAATAATAAGAAATGGCTCACCTGTTGTATATTCAACCGGAATAATTCCTTGAAGACCTCCCACGTACTGCACAGTTCTAGGTGACAGTTGCTGTCTATCCAGCAGGCCTGGTTCTGATTACACACTGGTTTTCCACTGATGCAATGTCTTTGACTTCCATAGAATTACACTGGTGTCACTCAGGGGTAAGTGAAAACAGAACCAGGCCCTGTATGTATTTAAGCGGAAATGACGCTGTCGCAGTTGCAGGCTAACAGTCTCTTTCTGCTCTTTCTTGAGTGCCTCCCCTCAGGGGCCGGGCCTCCCGACTTTTTCTCTCCAGAAGTAGAATGTCACCTTAGGCCAGGCCTTGGCCTGCGTTACCCAATGTATTGTCTGTGCTTTCCCAGCAGGTCTGTGACTCGGATGGCCACCTGTGATTCTTCCCTTCCGGAGCCTGTGGCCAGGGATGCACAGAGATCACAAGGCTGCCCTAAAATTCTTTTTCTCCAGGGCTGTGTCTACATTGGCATTCCTTTCCGGAAAAGGGATGCTAATGTGACACTTCGGAATTGCAAATCCACGGGGGATTTAAATATCCCCCGCGGCATTTGCATTTACATGGCTGCTGCTTTTTTCCGGCTCAGGGTTAAGCCGGAGAAAAGCGCCAGTCTAGACGCAATTTTCTGGAAAATAAACCCTTTTCCGGAAGATCCCTTATTCCTACTTTCAAGGATGTCATCATTGGACCCATTTAACGTGGTGCCCTAGGCGGTGGCCGACTTGGCCTATATGCATGGGCCACTCCTGATTATATCCACTCTATAGGTAACACTTCCCACTCCTTCACCACCCTCCTAGGGAAATGGTTTTCCTAATACCAAACCTAGACCTTCCCTACAGCTACTTGAGACCATTGCTCCTTGTCCCCCACAGCTACTTGAGACCAATGCTCCTTGTTCTGTCATCTGCCACCACTGAGAACAGCCTCTCTCCATCCTCTTTGGAACCCCCTTTCAGGAAGTTGAAGGCAGCTATCAAATCCCCCCTCACTCTTCTCTTCTGCAAACTAAATAACCCCAGTTCCTTCAGCCTTGGCTCATAAGTCTTGTGCTCCAGCCCCTTAATCATTTTTGTTGCCCTTCGCTGGACTCTCTCCAGTTTGTCCACATCCTTTTTGTAGTGGGAGGCCCCGAACTGGACACCAGTCCAGATGCGGCCTCACCAGTGCTGAATAGAGAGAAATAATCACTTCACTTAATCTGCTGGCAATGCTCCTATTAATGCAGCCATTAGCCTTCTTGGCTGCAAGGGCACCCTGTTGAGTCCTATCCAGCTTCTCTTCCACTGTAATCCCCTGGTCCTTCTCTGCAGAACTGCCACGTAGCCAGTCCGTCCCCAAACTGTAGAAGGGCAGGACTCTGCCCTTGTCCTTGTTGAACCTCATCAGATTTCTTTTGGCCTAATCCTCTAATTTGTCCAGGTCACTCTGGACCCTTCCCTGCCCTCCAGCATATCTACCTCCCCCCCAGCTTAGTGTCCTCCACAAACTTGCTGAGGCTGCAGTCCATTTCATCATTGAGATAATTAATGAACAAAACCAGCTCCAGGGTTTAATTTATTGATTTCCTCACCAGCCAGCCTCAGTATCTAACCAGTGCTGAAAAGAGCAAGGTTATATTAACAAAAATCAGTATTATCCCAAGGGGAATGTCTATTTAATAGGTTTAGGTATAAGCTTGCCCTACTCAAAAAAATAAATATTCATTGGACTAAATCAATGAGGGGAAAAAAAAGCCAGCTGATCCTGTAGGGATTATGAAGGTAAAAATCTCACCAGTGAATGGTTTTAAAAGTACATTTAATCTTCTTCTTTGTCCCCAGTTTCCCCCAGTCTGGGCACTGTGCTGAGCTAAAAGCAGGACCATCTTTCCTTCCATAATACTGTGCCGTTTTACTGACCGAATTGCAGTGAATGACTGCAAGAGACACTGTGAATAAACACTCTCTTAGTGAACAAGAATTAAACACCTAGTGACCAGACAGTGTAGCTGTTGAAGATGCCAAGTTAAAACATTAGTTTCACATTTATAAAGGGCAAGGTTTTTTTCTTCTAAGCATCTGGATTTGTCTTTTGTTACGTACAACCCACAGCTACCCGTGGAAAGATATCAACCATGAGCTAGCCAGGGAAGTCTTTAATCTTTTTGTTTAGTTAAAGCTTTCAGAGGGGTAGCTGGGTTAGTCTGTAACTTTAAAACGAGCAGTCCTGTGGCACCTTAGAGACTAACAAAAATATATGATGTGATGCGACTTGTATTTTGGTTAGTCTCTAAGGGGCCACTGGACTATCGTTGTTTCTAAAGCTTTCAGATATTTTTTCAGACTGCAGGTGGGGGAAGAGGCAGCTGCCATTCTGTCTAGTTCAATGTCCTTTGGCCAGAACTTGCCCGCTCTTTTGGGCATGCCTGTCTTGCCTAGCATTGTACTGTACATGCAGCTTTGTTAGCAGACAAGGAGAGGACTGCAGGACTTTGACTCTCATCCCCTCTTGTGTCACTGGTGGACACACATTATTGGTCAGGGTAACTTTTGAGCTGAGTCTTTAAATTCTGGTCCCATTATTGGCCTATTCGTAGTACGTCCCAATAGCTGTGCTGGAAAAACGGCAGACGTGGGCTTTTGAGGTTTGATCAACTATTACAGAGCTGGTAAGTGAGTATTCATTGGTGCCACAGGGTGTGACGTGGTGGAGCATGAATATCTATTAGCGGGGTTGGCAAGCTTTGGCATGCGGTCCATCAGGGTAATCCGCTGACAGTTTGTTTACATTGATCATTCATAGGCACGGCTCCCAGTGGCTGCGGTTCATCATTTCTGGCCAATGGGAGCTGTAGGAAGTGGCGCCCACAGAACCACATGAGAAGACTGTCCCTGATTGAAAGAGCTTACAATAAACAAGCGGTCGGAGGGGAAACAGAAATGAAACTCACCAAAATAACACTCAGCCAGTCAGTAGGACAGCTGGGAATATTCCACCGATCTCCTTAATCCAAGTCCAGTACCATATGCACTGGGCCATACTGCCTCCTTAGCTCAGGGGTGAAATTTGTCCTCCTAGCACGTTGTTAAGGTTGGGAGACACAACCTTGGGGGGCAGGGAGGCAGCTCCATGGGAGCTGGCATGTGCAGGGAACCGGCTTTCAAGCCAGCTCCCCCTCAGGTACCAGCTCCCATCTACTTCCCCTCCCCTGCGCTGCTGCCTCTGCAGGCGGCAGCAGGAGGAGGGGTGTCAGGCAGCTCTCTCCCCCCTCCCCCACACGCACCAGCTCCGCCTGCCCTCCTGCTGCCTCAGGTACAGAGGAAGCTGGTGGGGAGGGTTAACCAGTGAGCCCAAGGTCATCAGTTAACCATGTACTTGGATACACGTTCACATTCCTAATCGGTACAGCCATACCTTACTAAGCAGCATTGCAAGCATTGTTCTGTTGAGTCACCTCAGCAAAATAAAAATAAAGAGAGACCCACTGGCTACATCATTGACCTTCCCATGGTCCAGCAAATTCGCTGGTTCAGCACCAGTCGGGTCCCGAGGGTGGCGCACTAGACAGGTCCAACATGTACTAGGCACGGGAAGACTTGGACTCACATTGGAGACCCACAGTTTGATGGAAGAAGAACAAACATGTTTGCGGTGGCAAACTGCTGCAGGACTATTGGTTGTTTTTTAAGCTTTTCGAGTATTTTTGTAGTTCTCCTTTGTCCCTCCCATGCTTCCCTGAGACAGTTTACACCATGGGAAAATTGGTTTTGAGTTTTTTTTGAGTTTCCGTGCATGAGCTACTGTTGATGTTTAGTAATGTGTCCGTCTTGGAGTTTGCCATGAATGCTTGAAGGCAATGTCTGAGATTCTAAAATAAGAAATGATCACGGTTTCTTCCCATGCTCTTACTAACAGTCACTGTGATCCTGTTGGTACCTTGCTGGACATATGTGGTCAAAGAGAAGAAATGCAGTTCATTGAGCCCTGTGAGGCTTCATCTCACTAATCTTCATTCTTTGCGGATGAAATTATTATGAACAGTCTCCCTGCCCTCCCATCGCCCTGCCTGTCTCTGATTGCAGCATGCTTGCTTTTCTTCTGCAGCAGAACAACTCTCCCTGGACAAGACATTCTCTCATGCAGCTCTAGCCTTTGTATTTTATTTTTTTTTACATATGTTCTCTTTCTTCCCTTCCTATCTTTGTTATCATGGTGCAGCGTGCTAGACTACAAACCACACTTCAGCCATCTTCAGCTGTGAAGATAACAATCACCCCTCTCCCTTTCTGAATAGGTCTAGTCCTTCTCGCTGTAACTAGTCCCCAAGAAAACTCACCTTTACCACTCTTACTGGTTCTCCTCGGCTCTTTGCTCTTCCTCGGCAGGTGGGCATCAGGGCATGAAAATGTGGTGGTGTTTTTTTCTCCAGTTCCTGCTTGCATGGCAGTCTCTTCAGATTCTACACCCAGGACCGTTATCTCGAAGTGTCTCTTAATTCTAACTCCTTGCAAAGCATTGTCTCCTTACTGGTGTTGCAGAGCTCATGGCAGAAACATGGTCCAGCCCTAGCGTGTTTTCACACAGCAGGAGCTGCTGGCGATGTTGCCAAAGCAGGGAAGAGGAGAAGGCACACAGAGCATCTGGGCCTACCAATGGACCAAGCCTCATTGTCTTCACCCGAATTGAATGCAGGTTGCAGGGGGTCTGTGGTTATGTGGCCTGTGATTTCAGCCTCCAATGCATAAGTGTGGAGAAATCTGCAAGAGGAATATCACTCAAAGGTTTCCTCCCAGTTAGTCTCCTACAAAATGGAGCAATCAGATTCTGTGTTAACTTCTGAAATGACCCTGTGTAATTTGAAAGCTTGTTTTTCTCACGGGTTTTTCCAGTAAAAAAAAAATCACCTTGCCCAGCTTATCTCTCTACTAATAGCCTGGAACCAACATGGTCATCACAGCACTGCATTCAGCAGTGTTTCTGTCAGGTATATCACCTTGCCCAGCTTATTCTCTACTAATAGCCTGGAACCAACACGGCCATCACAGCGCTGCATTCAGCAGTGTTTCTGTCAGGTATGATTTGAAAACTTTGGTCTGTCTTGATTTTTACCCGTCACGGGGGGGCGGATGCTGTTCTCAGTAACACTTATAAATCCGAAAGAAA